CCGCACCGAGTATTTTCGGTTTTTGCAAAACTAAAAACCGCACCATCGGTTTTCATTTCGGTTTCGGTTTATGCGGTTTTTTCGGTTTTTTTGGTTTGCGGTTCGGTTTTTGCTCACCCCTATCAAAAGTTATCAAAATAAATTATGTTAGCAATTTGTAACTAATAAATTCCATTAAAACCCATCGCAAACAATCCCGTCAAAAATCACAAACCAAATACATAGAAAATCTGTAGGAATATCAAAAAATCTGTAACAAAAAAATTCGGTTGGAAATCTATCAAAAAAATTCACAAAAACTAATCCGTTACAAATTTGTGAGTATACTTTGTCGGTTAAATTCCGTCCTAAATCCGGTACAAAATTTTGTCCACTTGTTCTTTCTCACATAATACTTTTTGACGGAATTCGGTCGAAGAGGTTCCAGTGTCAAAGCAACACAAACTTGATAAATCTCAATTCTTGATAGCTTAATAAATAATAAATTATATAACAGAAACTATTTAGATTTGTTTTTGTTTTTTATAAATCATGTTAATTCTTAAGTTTTACTTCATTAAGTTATCAAAAAATACACATAATATGAATATATAGCAAGAAGCTTATTCTCTCTTAATTGCAAGGTGCAAACGTACAATACAATCAAATAAATAATAAATAGAAGTTAATTTCGAGAATCCTTTTATTGCACTCGACAATAACATAGATGATCAATAGTGTTGGACATAAACATCATACTCAACAACCGTATCACCATTAGTGATATTGAAAAATTGAGTCTTTGCAAGAACATACCCATGTGCAAATCGGAAAATTCCACTGCCTCCAACAATCGGCATCTCTCTCACAGTTGAGAACACCTCATTCCTCCCTACGATACTCAAAGTGCTACCATTATACTTTCCTTCCGAAAAAACATAATTCATAACCATTAACAACGCGCTTTCTCTCAAGTCAGCAGATGCATAGATCCCCTGAGCTCTTCCTACTATCTTGGATGTTCGTTCAGGACCGATTGTCAAAGGGTTGTCCATCATCGCCATGAAACCAAACCCTGTGGAGGAGGTGTTGGTTATGGCGGACTGGGCTACCCTGAATGCGGTGGCTTGATCACCACTTACTATGTCATGGAAGTAAAAATGGAGGTGGCTTAGTTTTTGCTTCTTGAAACCAAGTGTTTTTGATGACAAGTTTCTTGAAAATCTTTGGGATTCTCCATGTAGGAGAAATAAGAATAGGAAAAGGGTGAGAATGGTATACTTTTGCTTGTGGAGACTTTGTGCCATTGTTTTGTGGGGAGAGAGATGTAAAGAGAGTTGTGACAACGTTTCTTTTATAAAGCACGATGGGGAAACTTATATTTTATTGGTAGTTGGTGTATTTAAAATCGGTTGACATATTCTAATCGGACCAAGTGTTATAAATCACTAAAGCAAGTTAACGTTTGTTTCTTAGTTTAAAGCAAGTGAAGGGTTATGAATGTAATATGATGAATTATTTAGTATATATTAGTATTAGATCTAAAAAATGAGACGTTTGATTTCCTCAAATAGTTTTCTAAAAGTATTTAATACACAAGTCATTTAATAGTGCGAGTGGTTTTTATTTTTTGATGCGGTCTCTTCTAAAAAATGTCTTATTAAATATCTACAGCATAAAAAAATAAGAGAATCGCACCATAAAATAGCTTTGTTAGTGTGGTTTTCCAAAATCGCACCATTAAAGTATTTTCTGATGCGGTTTTCCAAAACCGCACCAAAAAATCATGTAGAAACCGCACCAAAAAACAATTACAACCGTCCCAAAAAATAATTTACACTAACAAACATTGAACCACACCCAAAAAAAAAACAATTTGCACTAAAAACATTAAACCACACCATTTATCTTTTCTCTAAAAATTTCATTCGAATTTTTCATTTCACGCGAGATCCCTCCAAATTTCGTTCAAAATTTTCATGTTTTTCAAAAATTTCATTCAATCTTTCCTTTTTTATATAACTTTGGAGATGCAACCTCTTCTCATAATTTATCTTCTTTTCATTAATGACATTTGAGACTCCATTTTTCTCTTATTAATTTTAATTGGATGTCCTATTTTAAGTTTTAACGATGTTTTCTTGTTCTGAATCTCTGCAGATGTTTCTTCTTCCGTGATATATCTCCAAGAAAGTATCCAAAGACTTATGATGTTGCTTCAGTGACTATCAATCAATGGGTATTAGTTTTTGCAGAGTGAGTTTTAAGATGTTGTCCAAAAAGAAATTGGAAACAAGTTGATGAGATGTGATTTCCCAAGAACAAATTTTTAATTGGTAGAGAAAAAGAAATTGCAGAGATGGAAACCACTCTTTTTAGAGAAACAAAAATCAAAAAAGGAACAATTGGAACCTCTAATAGATCTCTAGTTGAGGAAAACGAAGTTGATGGAATCATACGTAGAAAGTTCAAAAACCAGATTAAGATATTATGATTGAACTATTGATTGAAAAACACTCATCGAACATACCAAAATACAAGAAAATGAAGTTTCATAAGTAGCGTGGTGTGCATCAATGTGCGGTTTTAGTTAGCTATTTTTTGAGACGGTTTTGGCTATTTTTGGTGCGATTTTGGCTATTTTTTGGTGCGGTTTTGGCTATTTTTTGGTACGGTTTTGAAACCGCACCATTAAATAAGGGTAAATTTTGATGCGATATTTTTTGGTGCGGTTCAACACCCGCATCAATTAATCATTTTAACCGCATCAACAAATACTTTCTGTACCAATGACATATTTCGAAAAGATAAATAAAACTTGATATAAATTGTCTACCAGATAATCAATCCCGAAAAAGACAAGTTATTTGACTTTGAGGAATAATTAAATTAAATTTCTAAAGATAAAATATATATTTGAACCTGCAAATAAATTATAATATATATTACCTGCTACACTATTAATATGACGTGTTATGCATACGAACATCATCTTTTATATGTATTATATGAATGTAAGTATGTAACAAATGAGGGAAACTTTGCGAATAATCACTTTATATTGGACAACAAGTGTAATAAATAATAATAGAAAGATTAGGTCAATGGTGAAAATTAATGAATAAACATTTAACAAA